ATGTTGTTTAAAAGCAGTAAATTAAAAATTCTTCGATATGAATCGAGCCACTTTCAGTCTTGGATTTTTGTTCTTCGGCACTGTTCGTAAAAATGCATTACAATGATTACATTGACGAAGATGACATATGTGCGCGGATCGAATTTCGGGGAGAAGTCGCGTCCCCGAGACAGATGCAAACACACCATGGGACAATGGAAGTGTAATGTCGCACACGCTTGATGTTCGCCCCTCGCATCAGGCGCTCGGGCCTAATCGGAGAACACTTATACATATATATAACGCTGTGTTTTCGCTAAATAATCGCAATTTCGTCCCTGCTTTTGATTCCTTATCTTTGAAACTGTTCGTAGGTTCCCTTCAAGTTAAGGCGCCATGACGCACGACATTACGACGTCGTGCATTTGTTATCTCCTATGTGAAAAATATCCATTTAAGTGTTGTGTAAAATGCTATCTCACAAAAAATATGATTCTCTCTATAAAATTGTCAAATTCCACTAACTCGCCTAGAAACATCTTATACACGTTATCGAGATTGTATTGGTTTCGTTCGTGTCGGCGGAAAATGGAGAGCACGGGGGGAGGGGGCGAAAGTTTGCGATCGCCCGCGAGAGGAACATGCGGATAATGCCATCCATGGAAAAATATCGTTCGGAATTTGTAATTGATCTATATGTTTCGACCCGAACGTTCGGCGCGCGCTTTCCGGCGTCCGATCCGCCGACATGAATTCCACGCAACACCTATCACCAGAATTAATGAACGATTCATCATGATTTCTGTGGTATCGCAGACGAGTAGAATAGAAAGACCGATTAATATAAGCGGCGCGATAAATGTAAGTCTTACAATATATACGAGGATATACATGACGTGCCATTCTTTTTTTTTCTGCGAATCTTCTTTAACGCGATGTTCTAAGAATCTTCCTACGTTTAAGGGTAGAAGGAGATCCGATTGTTCTTGAAACGATTCGAGCACGTCTACTTTCTTCACTTTCTTTTAACAGTTATATGGATAGAACCGAATGTTTCTCCACGCAAAAGCTGTTCTTCTAGCAAACCGGTAAAACGCAACGTGACGAAGAAGTAGAGGCTGCGTGTGCTCGCGGAATCGGTAATTCGTTTAAAAAAAAAACAATCAAATCTCGTCACCCTTCGAAATCAAGACAAATCGATCAACAGCGACGCGATTACGCTTGAAAGGAGACCTGCGGCCAGTTTCAATGTGTGACCTAAGCTTCCTCGGTTTGCATCTTACAGGAATTCGAGTCATCCGGGGTTCTTCACAAGTTTCTTCCCGCGATAGTCGTAAACACGTCGGCAGAAAAGCACCATGTCTGATGGCACTGGTATAGGAGGCTGCCGATTCTCCCTTGGATACACTTGGTCCCCTGGCGGAACTATTAAGCCAGGATTTTCTAAACCCTCTTCGATCCTCCGTAAGTTTTTACGATACCTGTCACATAAAAACGATATGCAGGTAATCCGATCTTGCTTGGTTAAGGAAGTTACGTTACCTCTTTCAATATTAATTTCGTGGACAATCAAAATTTATATGTAATAAACTTCTATATTAGCTCATCACTCTAGCAGAGATTTAAAAAACATCCACCAAAAAGCTTTTACGTCAATTATTTCACGATCAATCATGAATATGTCATTAAATTTGATTATACAAATGGATTGCCAATCTGTAAAAAGTATTAAAAATCTTTTCTAAAAATCTATATTCGTGAAACATATTAAACTAAATTTGGCGTGATACGTGGCTCCGTGTAGAAGCGATCGATTCATCATAATAAGCAGATTCAGTCCCGACTTTCCTGTCATGTATTTGTTTATAAAAGGCTTGATTAAAAATCAAAAGATTTCAATAAAAAAGTATGAGTTGTTCTAATTGATGATATAATTTGTGACTGATTTTGGGAACTATAAATAATATATATACATTCAACTAAATTTCGTATTACAATAGAAAGAATTACTCACCGACAGTATTCGTTAAACGTCAGGATGTAACACTTGTCCTCTATGCAAGCGACGCTGTTTGCGTCCCGATGACGCGAGGCAAATACCTCGTCCTCGCTGTCGTGTGGCGTCCGACCCTGTTCCGTATGCTCAGGTCTATAGTACCACAGCAAGGAGAACATCATCTCACCTAAATGCAGAACAGCGTGGATGTTAACTCATCAAATCTAGAGAAGAGTTTTTGCGTTTTTCGCGACAGAGGATATCTACCGTCGTCCGGATTCTCCCACAGCGCCGCTATCTTCGCTACATACGGCAAGTCACCCTTTCGCGTACCGCTCTTCAGCAACACGCAGTCCCGAGGCCGCAATACGTCGCCGCTCTCGTGACTCATACTCGCGTAACATCGCCGTATGGCCGTTTCTTCATTCTAAGGTGATAGATTTTAAAATTCGATCAGATTCTATCAATAGATTATTGTCAGACGATATATCTATAGTCGAGTCAATAGTGGCATCATCACATGGTAATTAACTACTGTATAAAATTTCGTGTAAAACGTGCCGACCCGTTTGTGGTCGTAACACACTCAGAGATGAATTTAAATTATTTTGAATTTATCCTGAAATAAACGGCGCACACATTTAATCATATTACATTAATTTAATCAAATAACATATAATAATTCTGCAAACTTCGCACGATTTTAAAAGAACATTTATACAGACAGCTCGAACGAATTTTTTCTTCATTGAACTATTTACACATAAAATTATAAAGCTAACCGTAGAGATCGTGTACAAATTTTATCAATTAGATTCTTCTAAACTAATCGAGATATAACAATAACAAGTCACAGCAAAAGACAATAAAAAATCTAGATGTGTTCGTTATTGCTTTATAATTCAGCATAGTTTTCTCTTGTCTTATTATCGCTATGTGATAATAGAAATCTGGTTCCTCAATTAATTCAACCAAGGTTCGAATAAATCTCCGGAAGTATATCAAGGTTTAATTATTCTTACCGTTAGATAAACTTTGGCTTCAAAGGGCTCCCCTTCCCAGCTCCATCCGTTGTTCCACTTCGGTTTCAGGAACGTTTTTCTCGTTAACGTCAGGCTCTCATTTCCAAGCGAGGAATTCTCCACTTTGCAGCCCGACTTCTTGACGTTTGGTATCTTTTTCGCGCTCTTCCGCTTCTTCTTAATTACCGCCGACTTTTTCGGATCTTCGCTGAGGTCACTCGCTTTGGTCTTCGACACGTTATCGCGCTTCTTCGAGCCGTCCCGCGCTTTCGAGTCCTGCGCCCTCGGTTTTACATCCTGCGCCTTCGTTTCCACGATTTTGCCAATTTTTCCCTTACCAACCTTGACTTTACCGTCCTGCGAGGCCTTCGGTTTCGGTTTCGCGTCCGCTTTGCTTTTCGCTTGGCCGTTCTTCGAAATCGCTTTGGACACCTTCTCAATAGCCTGCTCCTTCACCTGATCGATCTTCTTCGCGGGCCTCTTCGCCGCCGGTAACGATTCCTCTTTGACGCTCTTCTTCTTCTTTTCCACGCGCTCGCAGTTCTTGCTCTTGCGGTCTTTCTTCTGCGTCATCTGAAGACTCTGCTGTATCACATCGTCGATAGTCTCCATTATCGAGATATCGCTGGCGGTCCGTTTCAAGCAATTCACGATGCTCTGCTTGACGCTCTTCACTTTCTTAGTCGCGCTTTCGTTCGCATTCGGCGCCTCCGCCTTGCGCTTTTGACCCCGTGACCCTGCGTCCTTCTTCGCTTGCTTCTTCTTCGGGACGATCGTCGTCTCGGCTCTCACGCTATCGGCTTTACTAGGAGTTAGCGGCTCGATCGGCGCGATGACATTGACCGATTCCTCGTTATTCGCATCCTGGGACGAGCCCACCGACAGGGCCCTCTTGCTCAGTTTCCTCTTCTTCCTGCTGTCCGATAAGCTGTCGAGCGAGAGCTTCCTCTTGGTCACTTTTTGGCACTTGGGCTGTTCCTCGATCTCAGCTCCAGCCTCGACCTTGGTCGCGATCGGTCCCTGCACGACTTCCTCCTCCACTTTCCTCCCCTCCTCCTCCTCTTCCTCTTTATCGTCGACAGTTTCTTGCACGGTCGGCTCGTAATCGGGCTTTTTCCAGCTCTCGTCACTGTCGATCACCACCACGTCCAGTTCCTCCTTCACGTCGGGATCGCCGTCGAGCTTGTCGTCCAGCACGATACCGGAATCCTTGTCCATCTCCAGTATCGCTATCTGTCCCTCCTTCATGCACTGCTCGCACTTCATGATGTCGCACTTGTAATCCGACTCGCACTTGACGACGTTGCAATTGGCGACGCACGGCAGCCCGTCGATCTCCATACTGCAGGACTCGCATTTGACGTTGTTGTTCTCCAGCTTGAAATTGTGATACTTGCTGCTGGGACAGCTCGCCGCGACGGACAGTTTCTCAGTGGGCGATAGCGTTTCCATCTTGACCTCGCAAGTGGACGTGCACGCGTTCTGACAACCGCATTTCCTCAACGTATCCTCCGTACAATTCTGCTCGTCCTGCAGGGATGGCAGAAAGGAAATTCATCGGGTTACACGTGCGCGACTCCGACGCTATCGCGCAACAAATCCGCGAGTCCTTGAAAAAGGCTCGTGGCCTTTTTAATTCAATCGCTAACTCGATTATTTTTCAGTTACACCACGACAATATCGATACGAAAATAAAACGTTTCATTTTCTCTCGATGATCGAAATATCCGATAAATTTACAAGTTATTCAGACTAATAGAATCATGTTGTATATAAAGAATGAAACCTAAATATTCATAAGGATGTTATTCTCGAAAGGCTGTTTGCGAAACGATATTTCGTCGCAAGTTATTTCCAAAAAAGTAAAAAAAAATTATTTATCATATTAAAAAGTTACTTTCAGGAGTATGCAAAATAATAGTATCTTAATCTTTGCTCGATTGAAATTGTGTTTTAACAGATATTTTATTTGCAACGCGTAGTATTGCCAAAATATTTAATATGTAAAGAATTTAAATTATTTGCGAGAGTATTCGCATCGCGTACATCTCGCCAAATGCAAAATTCCTGATACATTCATATATCTAAACGCATGTTGACGATCGAACTTGTATTTTTTCATCTTGCCACGAGATCGGGCGGAAATCAAGGTAATCGGAGACGGTCATCAAGACGTTGATTAAGTGTAAGAGAGCGGGTGGAACACATACCTTACTCCTACAGTCTTGGTTCTGAAGGCGACTGTGCCCACCGACTAGATTGTGCGACGACGGGACCGAGGGGGATTGGTTCTGATTTAGGTTGCGGTGAGTGTTGATTTGGACGCGATCCGTATCCCAGGCATTGGCACCGTGAGGGGGAGCTAGCCCAGCTAGCCCCCTCGCCGGCGAGGGCGGACCTACCAAAGCACTGGGTGGCAATGACAGACCGGGCCCCGATACCACTGGCGCTCCCTTACCATTACCAATAAGGGCCCCAGTATCCACGTTTTTTGGACACGATTGCATCGGGCATGGACAACCCTGAAAGGCTGCGGCAACAAACATCGGGGAATCGGTGAATGCGCGGATGCCGCCTCTCTCGTTTGTAACGGAGTATTCGGATGAGGAGGCGCGTGACGCCCGATTAACCCCTTGCCTTACGATTTAATTTGTGATGGCACCGCGCGTGCCATAATATAGTCAGCCGCAACGTCGCTTACGCGCTAAGAAACAACGATCTGGCAATACACTTAATCTGCCTTTGTCGATCATCTGGTATAAGTAACAATATCGTGTGATAAAATTTTCAATATATATAATGCAATTGATGCAATTGGTTTCTTATGGACATATTGTTCAATCTGTACCACGAGTTTTATTCGATATTATAAGGCAAGAGGTTAAATACATAAAATTCAATTTAATTCGAATTTTTAAACCCCTATTGCCCTTGTTCAGCAAACGACCGTTAGTGCTCTCGCCACGAACGTCGCGCTCGGTTATATCACGCGTTAACACTTTCAAAGTCGTAAAATTGTGCTAACAAAGTCTTGGAAAACAACCATACAAATGTAATCTAGAAGGTTGTAAGTGAAAAGTTACAAAGTTTCGGAGCAACTTTTATGCCACATTTATGCAATTAAAATAATAAAATGTGAACTGAAAGTTCGTCTCATACGAGAGCAATGAAGGGTTAAAGTAGGGCTCGATCGCTCATTCTTTTAGCGATGTTTCCATTGCTCGTCTTTGTAATTAAGTTGAAGTAAGAATAGCAACGACTTGACTTATTATAAACATTATAAAAAGAATGTCGAAGCGGAATTCACATGGAATAGACAAAAGAACGAAACAATATAAGACAAAATGGATAAAAATGCATTATCTTGAATCTAATTATTTCAAAATAATTTCGATGAACGCATCTTTTTACAATACGTTACATCGGAATGGAATTTATATGGAATATAGTAGGCAAGTAAAAAATCATAATGTCGTTTATCGCTAAGAGAAAGAATATGTCGTCATGCTTAGCTACGGGAGTATAAGGTATATTTGGATGAAGAAATAAGTCGACTTACTGTAAACGTTATTAACTTTTTTTATCATCAGCGAAAGTCACGGTCTTTTTTGTTTTCTTCGGCATGAATAAAAATGGAAAGTAATTTTTAATCACGTATAACATCGCACGGAAATGGCCGTATGTTCCTTTCTGATAAGACTGGACGCATTACAGTTTTCGGTTATTTTAGCTCTCTGTCGGCTTAAAATGTCACTTTGCTTTCTGGTAAGCTAATACTTTGTTGAAGAACGGGCCTTTAGGACTCGGACGCCTTGGAAATCGAACGAAATGGGCCCTACAATAATTTTTAGATTCTCGAAGTACTTTCCTGTTCATTTTCAGATTTTCGCGAAAGAAAAGGAAGCCGCAGCATTGCAGTCTTAACCGAGAGATAAAATTTCAAAAGGGTCGTGCCGTGGGTGATCCTGGGAATCCTTGAAATTTTAGAAATTTTTTTTCTATGGAGACCGAAAATATAACTACAGCATGAAAGCGGAAAAAGAAAAGAGAATTGAAACCATATTCAATTATTTGAGACATTAAATAATGCACGTCCGAAAATGTAGCAAGAATACAACTTGAAAAGCTGAGGATTAATACGTATTGACTATTTAATGAAAAACCATTGGATTTCGTAGGAAGAAATGATTGTAATCCTAAAAATTCTCTATCCGATAAATAATTTCATTATCCAACAGCGATTGAGAGCATGCAATATTATCCTATCATGTTTCTCGCGATATAATCTTAAATTTTTTAGTGGCAGCATAATTTGCGGCGATACGCAAATCAATATCCTCTCAAAACATACGCGCGGCAATTTTTAATAAATATTAATTTGCATTAGAAGCGGATTATACGCTTCGGAGAATAATTTAAAAAGACGAGCACGTTTCTGCCTATCTTCCTTTTAAAAATTAATTCTTCCGAACAAAAGAAGGAACATATCAGCGTGTTATTCGAAACACGTATTTAAATTTTATTAAATTTAAAAGCAGAAGTTTTTGTTCTGAAAAAGTGCATGTCCGCTCATATCATATTTGTCGGAGCGACTTTTTATCTTAACCAAATAAATTCCAAAAGAAAATCTAAGCGAACGTGGGAGAGGGAGAACAGAACGGGAACGAGAATTGGAATTTCTGAATTTTCCTCGCGGCGCAACGTCACGCACAGCTCTCTTTAGTAAATGACAATACTTACGGTCTACGAAAGGTCTTCCCTGAGAATGCAGATATGCCGGATTCGGAGGAGGTGGCGGTGGCGGATGGGGGGGCGGAGGATATCCCCCGTAATAGGGTGGTAGCGGATATTCGCCGGGCGGTGGCGGAGGTGGTTGGTAATCAACGACTCCAGGGCCACCTCCGGCGGCTCCGCTGCCCGGCGGCGGCCCGCCACCTCCACCGGTCTCTTGATAGCCATAGTATTGCCTGAAAAGATACCCTCCGTTACGAAATGCATTGATAATCGAAAAGCAAATATGAATATCCCGTGCGAGTCGAATATCCGGTTTGCCCTTATCAGCTCTTACTGTGTGTAGATAATGAGACGAAAGCTATTAGAAGGAAAAGGACGATATCATGCACGGAGATACTTAACAAACTTGGCGGTCATATCGGCGGCAAGAATGCTAAATCTACAGTCGAAAGAAATATTCAGGTTGCCTGCATTCAGGTCGCCTGCATAATTCTCTTGATCGATACACTCGTCGATCAATTTGAAACGAATTTTTCTGTAACGACAATATCATGGCACTGTAATAATAATGTCAGATTCGTACAGATTGGAAGAGATTGTACGTACACTGAGAAAAAAATGTTGTAAATTTGACTAAACTCGTTTAGTTGTAGTGATTTGTTTAATGCAAATATTAATATATTTAAATCAAATATACGTGAGTAATATCAAGAAATTCTGAATCTATTTAAATATAATATTTTTTGAATTAACAAATGTTAGTTTGACAGCCCGTGACCGCTGCATTTAGTTGAATCAAATAATATTTCTTTGAATCTACGATTTTTTTTCTCAGTGTATGGATTTTATTACGAATTAAATATCAATTTAAGCAAATTAAATAGCTCTAACTGAAAACTAACGCAATTATAACAAAAATTTGCGGTTTGGTTCCAGAAATGCATAAAATTGAAATGTTTTTTTTACAGCAATATCAAGTAATTAAAAAGTTACTGTGTGCGTTAAAATCTGCCATTTAATTTCCGCGACTTTAGCGGCAAAAACCAACTTTGACACGCTCTAGTTGTAACTTTCACTTCTTCATTAAAAACGTGATAACGACGGTTTCGGAAAGTTAGCACCATCTGTGACCCAAATGTATTGCAATGTAACAGAATAGTCTGTTGGTTTACTAAAATGTTTATAGATACTTTTGTTATTAAAACTCCGGAATACTATAATGACGTTTAAAAAATAGCAATGTACAAATATCGTACATGTATGCGAAACGGAAAAACTAAATTTACACGCTTCTTTTATACGCGATTTCAAACAATCTGGATAATGCAGCCCGCAATACCGAATGATTTTGTCAAAATCATGCAACCGATTTATTTCATAACGGAAAGTCTCAAAACACAGTCTAAAACTGGAATTTTATGTGATGAGTTGCTTTTCCAACAATGCCTATATCTCTTTCGTCAAAGCTAGTTTAAAACCGCGCACGGTTAGTTGTAAACGTGAGCAAAAACAATTCTCGTACTACGAAACGGGAAACCAACGACCATGTTTAATGCAAGGTACAACACAGTCGGCTTTATCTATTATACATAAACACCGTGCAATTCAAACATATATACTTAACATTTATAAACCGCCTTGTGAACATTCACACAAACCGCATTGTGAACATTTATAAATTCTGCAAACACCAATTCAGAGAAGCGAGTTATCACCATGACAGGAAAACGTGACGACGATAACGTTTTAGTAGAACAGCTCCTGTCGCTTTTTACATGTGAGCCTCGCGGAGATGAAACTGATCGATTCCGTGAAATAAAAAGTAGTCAACGCCTTGATGTCGACTCAGGATCACGATGACGCCTCGAGCTTATGCTCGGATCGCGATGACGCCTTGGAGACGACTCGGGTCGCGACAACGCTTCGTATAATATATATATCTAAATTGTGCGATCGTGCTTCCGCTATAACCGTGCTCTTTGATTGACTAATGCCAACTAACTGACTCGTCGCGGTAGCCGCGCCCCACGATTCCCGCTATTTGTTATTAAAATGCAAGATTCGCTCGATTGGTGGATCCTAGATCCGCCCTCTGATTCGCTCGCATCCACCAATCGACTTATATGTCAAGTCACGACGACTTAATTTGGTGAAAATGAGACGGAGATAGCGGAAGTCACTAATCCCACATCACAGGCACCGAAGACGCTTGAACAACGATATGTTTACAACCATTATATAATAATTATAAGCCGTAGGATTAACGTGCCACTTAACGCAAACAGATGCTCGATAATGTTACGACAACAACGGAACGGCGGCGCATATGCCGTTCTTCAAAGTGGTATACATCCCTCGGCTCCCCCTTCTTGCCCCCATCATGCAAAGCGTCGAACGCGAATAAATCTCTTACCTCCTGTAAGTGGGCGGGTATTTGTAGTAATGCGGCGGATGAGCGTGAGGATGAGAATACGTCGGCGGATAACACAGATCCGGATACTGCGGGGGCGTGCCGTAGTACTGCGGGCAATATGTCCTATAAAAGCCTCCACCTGTAACAAACGACCGTTCATTCATCCCATGCGTATCCCCCATCGAATGCACAATGATCGGTTTCGCAAAACAACGAATAAGCCTTGAATATTCGTTTGATAATTACGGTGGACGCCGCACTTCACGAGACGCCAAGGGATATCGCTAGATAATTTACGCGCGTTACTTTGCTAAAA